TACAAGGTTGGGATTGAGCAGATGTGAGTTGTCTGGCCAGTAGCAGTGTAGTCCTTGTTTCTTTTACCAGGCTCCACAGATGTAATACTTTAAAAGATTGTGTTCTCCTTCACATCAAAACCAGCTATTCGCCTTATACTTGAAGGGAAAAAAAGGAAGAAGTTTGGATGTCAGTCTTAATTATGGTTTTTCCCCATCCTTTTCTTTCTCTAAAATACCTTATTCTCTAATATGTGTTTGATGAACAATTGGACTGTTTATCTGCAACAAGCTTAGACCAAATATGAGTGCCAAAGGACAGGCACTGTGGGGTGACTGCCTTCCCCACGTTTCCTAGGGAGAAAAGGTTTATATATTATTTATCCTTTTCATTTCTAGTCTGTTCAAACTAAGGAACTTCGTGTTTCATCTTGCTCTGGAGTTTATTTCTTCCTGCAGCATAGCTGCAAGGTTGATGCTTGGATACCGCCATTTTCAATGCATCCTTCAATCTGATACAGTTAACTGTACAGTTAACAGTCTCTTCTTTTAGAAGGGATCCTCTAAAAGGATCCTTGCCAAGTAACAATATTCCCTATATGCACCAGACCTTCTTTAACATTGCCTCTCAATAGCTAAGTCAAATATATCTTCTTTAGCACAATCACGTTCTGAAGGAGGGAAGTTTAAGAGTGAAGCTTTGGTCCAAGTTGCTGTGAACCAAAGCACCCACTCAGTTTAAATACAAAGCAATGATGATTGCCAGTGGTTATAAAGTTACTGAGTTAATTCAACCTTTATTCGGCCCCATACCATTCTGTAGAATATGAAAGAATGGCTTACATATTAGGTCCTGTGGCCCTTGTTATAGCTGTAGCTATAAAAATCATTGCAATTTTGTTCACTGGTCAATACTGCTGCCATGGAATTACTGCAGTAGCTTTGATTACTTGGGATAATATTTTTGGATATTTTAATGGCATCAATCTATTAATGTATCATCTCACTTCAAAAATAGCTAACCAAATCTTCAGCTGGTATAAATCAGCACAGTTCTTAGTGCCACAAAGGGTTTTTATCTGCAGAGCACTTGGCAGTGTCTACTGAAATACGAAAAAGCATTGTGTGCAAAGTGCACTCCTTTTTGTCCTTAACTTCCTTTACCTAATGTAAAAATTCCATTAAAAAGTAGGCTGTTTTCTTCAGAGTAAGTCTAAAACTTGATATGGGATATCTCTGAGCCTTGATGATAAGAAATTGATTTAATGATTAGAACATCACCAAGAATAAAGGTATATGTATACTGCTGGGTGCCATTTTAAATGGAGTCACAGAAGAGTGATGTCAGCTCATGTTCCATGCAGTGACCTGGGGAGTGAACTATGTTGTATTGAGAGACTGTAGAATCAGAGACCTCAGCTTTTTCTGATTTTTTTTTTTTTTTTTTTTTTTGCTTTCTTCCTCTCTTCCTCCTTGCCTTCTTCCTGCAGTTTTAGTGTGTTTGGGTTGGTATTGAGCTATGCCGTTTCCGTCTGTTCTGCCTTGGTACTGAATTCAGTACTCTTTAATTGTTCAAGTATCCGTGTTCATCTCCTCACCCACAGCCCTGTTCTGGCTTTAACATAGAACTATTAATTCATAGCACATGTGATATAAACAAATCTGTTTTGTAACCTGCTAGTGCTGCTCACCAGCAGCATCCATCTGAAGGCTGACAGTGTTATCCATGGATTTGGTAGTGGGAAAATCAGCTAATAGCCAGCTGGGCTTTCCTGTCTCAGGAAGGTGACATGAGAGGTCTAACCAGAGCATGTGAAGAAACCATTGAGAAAGTTTCTCCGTATCTGCAGATTATTTGAGAGTTAAGAGAGGA